ACATATCAATAAAACAATAACCGATAAATTCAATCAAATAACTTTATAATTGATGATATACAATTTATAAAAAAAAAGTGATGAAATGAGTAAAAGATACAAATGAAAAATAAAATCAAGCTAATAAAAAATAGTAACCAATGTAGTAGAATCTTAAAAGATTTTTCAAGGATTTATCATAAAAAAAATTTTACGCGAGAACTTTTAGAAATTGAAGAGACCTGATTTCAAATTAATATTGTTTTCTTTATTTCGGTTTTGCAATTATCCGAATAAGAGAAGTGAGAGACCCCTTATGCTTGGAAGTTAATATTGATTATATTTATTTCTTAATTTATGTCTCAAGTTAGAGAAGAGTATAGAAATTATTAAAGCACTTTAAAATTGTTATTAATATTTTCAAATTATTAAATGTAATATTCGAAATATTTCTCATCGATAATTCTAATATGGAAGAAAAGATATAAAAGCACTTCCTGGAAACCTTTTCTCTCATTATTCACAAATCAAACTTACAAACTTACAATTAATACAGTAATAAACAAGCCAATCTCATAATAAATTTTCAAAAAACTTTCTTGACCACTTTCAAAATAACATCCATTATTTTTTGGTTATTCGCTAAGAAGCTATGAAGCCAACTTACGCCTTTGTTCTTTTGCTCATTGCTCTCGTAACAATCACTTTCATCGTTGACGCTGCAGCTGTAAAACGTGATCCAGATTCCAAAGCTGAAACTCTTGAAATTTTAAAACGTGAAAATGGCAAAGACCTTTTAAAACGTAAATATACAGTAAATTATTTATTTATTATATAAGTTATATATATATATATATATATTTTTAATTCTTTTGTATATTTATTAAATAGGGTACCGCCGTGGTCATGATTATGATCTTGGTGACGACGATTGGCGGCATAGACGAATTTATGAGAATGAAAGGCTTCGTCACAATCAATTTCTCAACTATGGGGATTCTGATGATTACGATAAGACCGTTTATGAGAATTAAATCATGACTTTTATATTTTCTTATTTTCTTACAATTTTTTTTTGTTTGCTTAAAGCTTTATAATAGTTGATAACATCTTTATTGATAGTTTTTTTTTAATCCCCCCTTTTTTTTTTTATATAATAAATAATGTCCTAACTCTTAAATTTTTAAGTTTAATATTCAATTTCACGTATAAACTTCGTGCATATATTTACGATATCAAATAAATATAAAGGTTAATGTCCTCTTTGATTTTTGAAATCCAATATTTTCAGAGGAGCATCTGTAAATGACAGTGTATACTTGTGTGTTGTTTCAATATTTCTGCCCATTTTTTATTTAGTAACGTGACTAGAGAAATTAAAGTTTTTATTTCAACCTATCTCTATAGTGAATACGCCTGAACTTTACCTTCTGATAGGTATTACAGTACGGTCTAAGCTATCCAAATATGATATGAATCGAAAATCGATTAATCGATTAGTTGATCGAGTTGGCAACTAATCGATTGACTATTACAAACACGATTTTAATTGATTAACCAATTAATCGATTAGTTGTCTATATACCTAGATCTTGTACCTGCTTAAAATTTAAGCTCTAGTTTACCTACCTATTTTAAAGTCACTTTCAATTCAATTCTATTTTAATAATAATAAGAAACTTGAGCTTTAAACCCCTTATCATATACAAGCAGCCGACATTTATAGCTTCGGAGTTATCATGGCAGAAATGTCAACTGGAAAAAGGCCTTTCGATGGGTGCGATTTCGATACTAAACTTGCAGTAAGAATTTGCAATGGAGAACGACCAGAGTTTGCTCCCGGAACTCCCGATTGCTATGTTGAATTGGCTAAGCGATTGGGGTGAATCATTATAATAAAATTTTAAGATCTGCACACTCTAATAAACGTTTATGAAAAATACACTTCACTGCGCTTTCAATTTCTCTTCCAGTATTTAATATTTTTTAAAGTTTTAAAAACTTATCAATTTATAAGATATGCCTTTATATAGTGACAACGTTGAAATTCTATTTATGCATTTTCCTATCGTATATAATTCTTTTTTGATTTCTTCACTTTTGCTGTCTTCTTCGATATAACGGGTAAACCAATTTAAAAATTTTTCACCATGAGTGTAATATTTAATTATAGCATACAACTCCCTCACGTCCGTATATTTATTTTTCAGGATTGACAAATCAGACAGACCTAATATGAATAATATGGGAAAGTTTTTTAGCATGATATTTACCAGTAATAAGTATACTTGCTAGCCAAATCCCAAACTATTATAGTTTGGGTTTGTCTACACCCAAATTCCAAATCCAAGCCCAAACTAATATCTCAAAAACTTTATTAATAATCTTTATTCAAACAAATGATATATGGGGGGTGTCAGTAGAAACCAAGCAAATTGTTTCTAAGTAAATTTTTTTTAAACTTTAGATTAAAATATCTTAACAACTATTAAACCAAACTTGATAAAAATTTTTTTATTTTATTTCTATATAGTTATAGAATCAAAATAAAAAAAAATTTATTAAGTTTAGTTTAATAATTCTTAAGGTATTTTAATTTAAAAATTTAAAAAAAACTCACTAAAAACAATTTGCTTGGTTTTTACTGACACCCTCCCATATATTCTTATAGCTATATATAATATATTTACAAAATATCGAAATTGTTTTGTTGATTTAATTTTTTATAAAAGCAATTTGTTTTTTGGGGGTTTGAAATTTGTCTGGGTTTTGCTAGCAAGTATAGTAATAAGATAATTTTGTTTTTCATATCATTCAAATAATTCATACTTAGCTTTATACTAATCCTTTCAATTGTCAGGAAAACTATAGCTTTTATTTTTTTAGTTAGCCATCATGACTTTGAATCATAATCATAAATTGTATTATAATAAATATTAGATTATGCAATAATAAATATATTAAGATCTATTATTAGAACAGTTAGTTGAGTATAAGTATTCTCTTTGTTGCATGTAAGTGATAGGAGTAGAAAACCTGTAATATTGATTTATTAACTTTAACTTTATTAGATTTAGTTCTTAAAAAATATCTTATAATGATTATATGTAATTGAAATTTGCATAACTAGTTATTCTAGTTGCTTTAATAATTCTTGTTACTTTAGTTATTAAACAAATTTATTACAAAAAAAAGAAGGTATTATATTTATTATCAAAATTATTTGACTTGATTATATCAGATTTTTTGAGATCAAATCTGATAAAAATGATAATTAATAAATTAAGGGATTTACTATTTCCACTATGTTAATTTGCTATTTCTACTATGATAATCATATAAAATAATAATAATGACTAATATTACAAAATGTGATTCACTTTAACTCTAATTCTAATTCTGGCCATATAGTAGAAATAGCAAATTAATATAGTAGAAATAGTAGTTTTCTAAATTAATTTTTACAGGTTTTTTATTCTTTATTGATTATATTATTAATTTATCTCTATAGATTAGTAGAATTAAACATTTTACTTAGATTGCTAAATATATATTTATAATAATTTTCTGTAAAATAAAAAGTTCAATTCTACTAAAATATACTAATATTACTAATATTGTATTTTTATTTTTTATGTTATCACAGAAAAAAATTATTAAGGATTTTATTTGCCTTTTCTTTTCTAGAAGTTTCCATATAATTTTCTAATATTTTATTAGATACTAAATTTTTAGTATTTTGATAAAAATTCTATAAATTATTCTGAGAAATTTCTTAAATTCTACTATCTAATCAATTAAGCTAAATTTGTAATTCTTGCAAACTTTTATATCATAATAATTGAATATCTCTTTAATTGTTATTAATATATTATAATATTTTAAATACAAAACTTAAGAAATTTATATAGGTATTATTAAAAGAAACTCTGCTATTAGACTTTTAAGTATATTTTGTATACAGATCATATCTTGTATTCTATCTATAATAAATTTATTATCAGATATTTAATTATATAATTTTCTAAACATACTTTCTGAAATATCTTGTAGTAATTATTGTATTATTACAAACTATATCACAAAGATGTAATAATAGTAAATTTATTTATATAGTATATTGTATTTAAATTTCTAATCAAATTTTTTAGAAGTATGTTTGATACAAGATATAATTAAATATCTGATAATAGATTTATTATAGGTAGTATATAAGATATGATCTGTATATAAAATAAGTTTAAAAATCTGATATCAAATTTTCTTTTAATAGTATCTATTGTTATGTTGCTTCTACTTCTTTAAAGAGAACAACTAACTAGAGAGACTAATAACAAGGAATACTTTGTATAACATCCCTTGTTACTGTATTTTGGCAAAGTCTTTAGAGTATTTTTGTAAAACTTAACAAAGAAGATTTAAGATAATTTGCAATTATGAAAGAAGCAATAATT